TTCCCTACGGGGCAGAGTCCATCGGGTCAAGGGGACACGCCCTCGGAGCCCACGCCATCCCGTTCTTGACCCTGCTCCAGGCATCCAGGTCCCTAGAATCCCCCGCTTAAATGGCAGTGAGCCCACCGCTAGGGCATTTTCCCTGGTCAGACCTCCTGGGGGCAGCCCGGGCTGGGGGCGCACATCCCTGAGCTCATGGGGCAGCTGTTTATGGGTAAGGATGAGGGTGTGCGTGGAGCTTTGGAGGTGCGGGCTGAGGCCCTCACTGTGAGGGAAGCCGGGTGGGTGGAGGAGGGGGTGGGCTACGGTGGGGGTGGGGAGCTCAGGCCTCCGACACCCACCCCCACACGAACACAAGGAGTTCCCTTCCAGCTAACGTCAGCCACATGAATCACTCAAAAGCCAGTGATGACTGTCCTGCCCAGCTCACCCTAAGGAGCTTAAACCCCAACCCCAACCCCAACCCCAACCCCAACCGAGCCGGGGCCTGGAGGTCAGAGATGAGCTCATATTGAGGGGGGCGGGGCAGCGGCAGCGTGGAAAGGAGAAATCCAGCTGACTCGGGCTGCTTCTTTGAGCTTCCCAGCAGCAGAGGAATAGAGGGCGGGGTCCAGAGCATAGGGCTTCCTGCCCCGGGCCCAGCCTGACACCTCCCCAGGCACAGCCAGGCCTGCCTGACTCAGAGGGTGGGGTGACCCAGGCAGTTCTCATGCCCGGGGCATCCCTGGGGACCTGTCCAGCCAGTTTCCCCATATTTGCCACATTGACATTTAATTTTTAATTCCTCACATGCATCACCCTGGGGACGGTTTGATTCAGACCAGGGAGGGCAAGTGGGAGCCCCAAGAGAAGCACAACCTTCCCACTACCAGCTGTCCTATCCACTCTGCTCTCGAAAGCTGGGGACAGGCTCTGGCTTAAGCTCTGGGCCGGGCTTCCCCTGGGAGGCAGAAGTAAGTGGGGAGAACAGGCCCTTCCCCTACTCGGCCCAGCCCGGCCCAGGTGGTGGAGACGGGACTGGACTGGGAGGAGGAGACCAGGCGCGGCCTCTGCCTCTGCTGAGCTGGGTGACCCGGGCAGGACCCTCCCATCCTGGGCCTCAGGTTTCTCCTGCTGATGGGCGCCGAGGTCCCCCCAGCTCTGAAGGGTGGTGATTCTGACCCAGTTTCTCAGGGCCCTCAGGGCAGGAAGTGGGGCGGCCCTGGTGGCTGCAATGTCACCCTGTTCAGAGGGGAAGCAGAGCTCAGGGAGTGATCCACGCCTCGTGAGTGGCCCGGCTTCGGGGGGACCTCCAGAGAGCTGACCCCACCTCTGCCCCTCCCTCAGGGAGCTACTTTAACACAGAAAGTCACAGCTGGGGAGACCCTGGAGGACCATCCCGTGTAAGCCCCACTGATGGGTGAGGAGCCAGAGGCCCGGCAGAGGAAGGGCCTGGCCCTCAGCCTCCCTGCTGCCCAGTGGCAGAGCCGGGACTGGTGCCAGTTACCCGAGGATCAATCTGGGTCCCATCCCAGTCACTGAGGGATCCCAAGGTCCTTTTCATAATTGGCCTATGGCTCCTGGCTGCCTGAGGAAGTATGTCTTAGTCCTCTGCACTTTCACCTTAAACAGGGCAAGGAAGCTCCCTGGAGGGGGTGGAAGCAACTGCACTACCCTCCCCCGCCTCATCTTGCCCTCCCCTCCTGCACCCGTCCCTTTGCAGGCTCATGGAGGGTGCTGACAGTGGGGGTGCGCTCAGAAGATGGCCCAGGCCCAGACAGAGCTCGAGGAAGAGCACGGGTCTGTCACCTGGCTTCTTGGGGACAGCTGCCTTGAGCCTCCCCTGCCCCAGGGTGGCCTGGACCAAGAGGTGGCCTCTGAGTGTGGGAAAAGAGGATAGGGAGGGGTGAGGCCCAGCTGGCTAGGACAGTGTCAGGCAGGGCTTGGGCACCGGCCCAGCTCCCCGCCCACCCTGACTCGGCGGGACTAGGGGGCGGTATGCGCATGTGTGTCTGCGTGTGAACCCACACCCACACGGAGCTCTGCCCTCCTGCTTCTCATCCTCCCGGCCTCCTGCCCTGGAAGAGAGCAAAGGACCCCTCAGAGCCTAAGGAGAGGAGTGGGACTCCCCTCACCCCAGGAGCAGGGGATGCAAGATGCTCTGTATCTTGTGACCTGTTCAGGAGCACAGAGACATCTCTGAGATACAGGCCTTCAGGCCAAGGGAACCTAATCTAAAGGACATTGCAGGTGGGCTTCTGGGGGCCTGAGAGCCCTCTGCTGAAACTGCAAGCAAAATTGTGTGTATGTGGCCCATAGCCTCATCATGGTCTCAGAGGGGTCGATGACCCAAAAGAGGCAAGAGACCGTGGTGCCCAGCAAGCCCTGGCTGCTCAACAGGGTTTCAGAGAGGTAGACAAGGGAGACGCAGGTAGTTCTCCAGGCTGGGACTAGGAGGGAGGAAAAAAGCTTCTAGGTAGTGGGTGGAGGGGAGAGTAGGATGGCCTGAACAGAACTTGGACCCTGGAGCCTGGCTACCAGTGTTCAAATTCCAACTCTGCCACTTATGAGCTGTGTGACCTTAAGCAAATTACTGCCCCATTCTGTGCTTCAATTTCTCCATCTGTAAAATGGGGATTAAGGACAGCACCTTCCCGGTAGGGCGGCTCTGTTGACTCTGTTAACATACACTGGGTGCTTGGAATGCTGCCTGACACAAAGTAAGTGCTCTATATGTGTCAGCGACGATCATGTGGCCATGCCACTGGACAGGACCTCGCGAGCTGTTCCATCTGCCTTTCTCTGCTCAGCTGGCACCAAAGGCATGGAGTGAGCTTCCCCTTTCTGGATGAGGCCCCTTCCAGTTGGTTCATGGTGTGTTCATTTTCTCACCCTCACTAGCGAGGGGGCGTGAGTTTGTTGGGGAGAAGCCCCCATCCCCTGGGACTGGCTCTGAGGCTTGCCCAGAAGGACTGCTCCCAAAAAGCAGTCTAGGAACTCCAGGCCTCACCAGCCAGCAGAGCCCACTCCGGCGGCCCCCCAGTCATCTGCCAGCCTGCCTGGGGTCTGCATAGTCCTCAAGTCATGCCCTGGCTGGCGCAGACAAGATCCAAACCAGAGGACCCAAACCAGAAGGGAGGAGGGCAGAAAGGCTGGGAGAGCCCTGATTACCAAAGGGGCCCAAAGTGTGTGTGTGGGGTGGGGGGATACAAGATGCTGTCCAACCAGAACAGACTCAGCTGTGCAGCACGAGCCGTTTAGATGCTGGTTCAGATCTGAGGGACAAGCCAGGACAGCAAGAGCCACTCAAGGGGCAACAGCCATGTATTTCAATATTTTAACAACCAGAACAGGTACGGGTGTGTCAGCCCTGGGCCCACAGCACTGCAATTCTTCGTATGGGTGTTGGGGGTAGGTGAAAGGAGAGAATCTAATTCATCCCCAGCAATAGAAAATGTCTAAGTTATTTCATCTGCATTTATGGGTGCAGCGAGCCCTGTTACAGCTCTATGTATCTCTGGAGACAAGGTTAGGGGCTGACTCATTTGCTTTATACCTTTTTGTTGTTGGTGTTGTACTTTCTATATTTGTCTATAACATTCATGAATTGCTTTTATAAGCAGAAAACAAATATTTAAAGTTGTATTCCCAGAGGGCTGTGGGCTCAGCCCTCCACATACAGGCCTTGGGAGGCAGCAAGGAGAATGTAAGACTCAGTCTCTCCCATCTAGAATCTCGGGGTCTGGTTGGTGAGGTTGGACAAACCAGAAAAAACTGGTGATGAGGAGAGGGAGGCGGTCGTGCCAGGCAGCGCTGGGCAGAACACGCGGGTGCCCAGCACCCAGGCCCCTGAGAACTCAGACAGGATTCGGTGCCTGGCCAGTCTAGGCATTACAGAGACTCCTCCTCATGTATGAGGAGGCCATGACCCCAGCGACAGTATTGTCCCAACCAGGACCCAGGTCTGACAGACAGGAGTGAACCTAGAATTTATGAGGCTCGCTGCTTAGCCTCCAGATCTGGGCTTTGTCCCTGAACACAAGTGGCTATTGGACGCTCAAAATGTCACTAGTCAGAAGTGGGAATGTATATGCTCTAAGTGCGGCACACCAGATTTTGGAGACTTAGTGTGAAAAAAAGAATGTAAAACATCGCATTAGTATTTTTTATATTGATTAAATGTTGAAAGGATACTCTTTTGACTAATTTTACCTATTTCTTTTTACTTTTAATGTAGCTATTAGGAAATTTAAAATGACACATGAAGCTCACATGATATTTCTATTGGACGGCGCTGGTCTAGACTATCCCAGAAAACCTGGGAACTCTCATCACATAAATAGAACCGGTCACAGAGGGATTGTTTTTTGAGTCTCTCTTTTGTCAAAGAACAAAAGCCCGATCACCAGAAGGGAGTTTCCTGGAGTTCCAGACACACAAACAAATCTGCCCCAAATGCCCTTCTCCCAAGGATCACTGTTATGTGTCCTCTGGGACAGTTCAAGTGTCACCTCTTCCAGGAAGCCCTCCTTGACCACCCACTGTGGTCAGATTGGCTGCCCCTGCTCTGGCCTAGGTTCTAACAGTCCGCTTACTCACTCATTCCCTGCACTGGGCACGGAGCTCCTGGAGAGCAGCCATGCTGGCTCAGTCATCTCTGAATCCCAGCATCCAGTGCAGGCCTGGCATGGAGCAGGCAGCCACCAACAACTGTAGAACGTGAATCCTGCTTAGCCGGAGGTACCCACTGCTGCACTGTCTCTACACCCAAGTTCCCCATAACCTCTCCTTGGGTTCCAACCTGGAAGAGTTGACACCTCTAATCCCAGGCTTCCTGCCATGAGCCTCAGCCATGCCTCCTCCCAGGAGCCACCCCGGGTTGGCATCAGGAGGGAAAGGAATGGACAGAGCATGAGGCGGATGTCCACTTGGGCCAGGGCAGGTGGGACTGCCTTGTCTGTGGCAGCCAAGGTGGCCCAGCCAGACCAGACCCTTAGACCTCAGAGCAGACCCGTACTCACCAGTGGAAGGAAGGTCAGGAGGGGCCGGACTCTCGGCCTAGCTTTCAGCGTGGCTGTTCCTGATTCGCTCACCGAGTCAAACCGGTTGTCTGCATAATAGATCCCATCTAGAGGAGACAAGTGAAGGGAGAGCATGAGCTGGAGATCAAAGGCCTGGGGGCCTGCTGATTTCAGTCTGCCCTGCAGTGCCCAGGAAGGAAAGCCCAGGCCTGCGGTTGGCCGCTGTTTGACTCAGCTCAGCACCTCTTACATAACAAGATCCTACAGATGGGGCATGTGCTAATGGGCCCACTGAGGCAGCACCGGGAGAGACTGCAGGGGGCGGTTTCTTGGGGTCTCCCCCAGTGTTCTTGGAGCTTTCAGCTCCCAGCAGCCATCTCCCTCCTGATTCACCCCCGACAGGTTTTGAGCCTTCATTCCTACAACAAGTTGTCCTTCCTTTGGGGGCCCTGAGAGCTCGGCCAAGGCCCTGGCTAAAGCTTATCTCTGAGAGAAGGAGGAAAACAAGCTGGCTTTTCTCCCAAGTGTTTGAATTTCTAATCTGGAACAAGCAGAGCAGATGAGGTCACCTGCTGCCCCCAGGGGCCCAGATGCCATTTTCTGGACTCCTCTAACTAGAAATTTCCTTACCCCCAAACCATCAATGGTTGTGTGCATGGCTCTGATGTGCCCTTGAAGGCAGAGCAGAAAGAACTGGACAGTAGGGTCCATGTGACATAATACAAATCCCATCTCTGCCATTGACTGGCCTTGTCGCTTAGCCTCTCTGGGCCTCAGTTTTCCCATCTGTACAATGGGAGTGATGACAGCACCAACCCTGTAGGACTGTTGTGAGGAGTAAGTGTGGCCCCCCATATAGTAAGTGCTCAACAAACATGGTCCCTTCCCCTGCAGGAAGATGATATGAAGGACCTCCCTCTTCTTGGGTTACTGGGCCTGCTCCAGGCTGTCTCTGCAGGCGTGGGGAGGGCGTGAGGGGCAATTCTCACTTTCTCAGCCAATCTCCCGCATGACCCTTAACCCACCTTGACAGGAACTCAAAGAGGGTTTTCATCCATTTAATAAGGCATGAGGGACTTTCTCCTCCTCTATAGCTGGAGGAAGAGAAGAAAGCTCAAAATTTCCGTTAACCAGGGGCCGGTGGTGGTGCAGCAGTTAAGTTCACGGGCTCTGCCTCAGGGCCGGGGTTCCCCAGTTCAGATCCCGGGGTGTGGACCTACACACCACTTATCGAGCCATGCTGTGGTGGTGTCCCACATATAAAGTAGAGGAAGATGGGCACAGATGTTAGCTCAGGGCTAATCTTCCTCAAAAAAAAAAAAATCAGTTAATCAGAATCCTCCTAATTAAAACATTGAACAGATTGTGATTACTTTTCCGGTTGCACATGACTTTAGGAGAAAATTGCAAGAAAGCCAAATGATGTATTCAAAAGAGACTGGGCTTGTCAAGGAGGTCCTGGGATCAGAATACCTTCATCCTATATTCCTGCACCTACAGCCTGAGAATCTGGGCTCGGAACGTGACAGGTGGCTCTGGGGAGCACCCCAGGACCTGGACGCAGAAGCCTCTATGTGCTGTTCTGCCAGGCAGAGGTCGGCTGGTACATTCAAGATTGTCCACCTCTCAAAAGGGGCCAAACGGCGAGTTCTCCGCGCGCTCCACCCGTCCCCGGGGACTCCAGTTCCCAGGGCTGCTCTGCCATGTGTAATCGGTGCAGTCACGATTTCCCAGTTCAGTCGGCCAGGCTCCACTGCGCCTGCGCCTGCGGCTGCGGCTGGAGCCCGAGATGCCAGGGGGCGGGGCAGGAAAGGGAGGGGTATAAGAGTGCAGATTTGGCCCAATCAGAAACAAGAAAGTAGAGATTCCCTGGACACACCCAGGGGCTGCCACTAATGCCCACCTGGTTCTGGCTTCCAAGAATCTACGTGTTTGACGCCAGGATCTCCTGGGACGTTCCCTAGATAGTTCTGTTTGGACACCAGGGTCCTAGATCTGATGTGATATGGCTGCGGGCCCTGGACAGGACTGCATGTGGCGTGGGCATTAACACTGGGAGGGCGAGAGAGGCGGCACCTGGGCAGACCCTCTCTCTATTTCATGTAATCTCTGCACCAGCGTTGGGGTCTAGGGCGCCTTCTTTCTACAGCTGAGTTATGATATTAATCGCTACTATTTGGGGATTCCTAGGAGCTTCAGAAGCGAGCAACCTGGCAAAGCGGTGACTATAATAGTAGGAATAATATAATAATAGGTAAAATTTACTGAGCAATTTCAATGGACCAGGCACTGTTCTAGGCATCTTATACATTATTGATTCATTTAATTCTCAAAACAGCCCCATCCAGTTGGTACAATGATTATCCCCATCTTACAGATGAGAAAACTGAGGCACAGAGAAGTCAGATAACTTGCTCAAAGCCTCAAAGTAAATGGTGAAGCCAGGTTCTCTTCTCCGGGGCTGGTCTCAACCATTACATGCACTGCTCCCAATGCAGGGAATCCTGATCCTGCTATTTACAGGACAAGGATGGGAGGATGGGGGTTCGAGGGGCAGGGGAGCTGTTTGAGGGTCAGGGAGGCTTGGTTCTAGCCAAGGAGCAGTGCTGGGGAGGGGTGGAGGTGAAGCAGCTTGCCCCAGGCCATGCATAGGTCAGGACAGAGCCAGATCTGAGCCGGGCCAGCTGACCCTCACGCGGGCACTCTAAATACCTCACAGATTCCTTGACTCAGCCCTGACTCAGAGGCACTGTTTGCTGTCTCATTGGTTTGTGATTGTGTTCAGCAGGGAAGCCCTTTCTAAGAATGCAGTCGTTCTCCGGAAAACCCATGGAAAGAAAGCGGCTGTGGTCGAGGCTGGGGTGGAAGGGCCAGGTGGCTCCCTCCCAAGCAGGGCACCTCTTAGAAATCCAACTTGATTTCCCAGTTCTAAGCGGTGTGGCTGGGAGTCACGGAAGGAAACGTGACGGAAGCAGAGTCAGAGTGCTGTGATGTGACACAGACCCCGCCGGCCAGCGCTGGCTTTGAACACGGCAGGGGGTCATGAGCCAAGGAGTGCAGGCGGCCTCTAGACGCTAGAAAAGGCAAGAGAACAGATTCACCCCTAGACCCTCCAGGAAGGAACAAAGTCTTGCTGACACTTTAATTTTAGCCCCGTAAAGACCAGGATCAGACTTCTGATCTACAGAACTGTAAGATAATAAACGTAGGTTGTTTTAAGCAAAAAAAAAAAAAGAAAAGAAAAGAAAAAGACGAAAGAAAAAGAGGTGAGGCTAGAGGTGTGGCAGACTTTACCTGGGCCCTTCATACCTGGGCTCAGTTCCCGACCGGTCAAGCCATGCCAGCAGGTGAGGCAAGTGTGGCCACCACCATAAGCCAGGTCCTCCAGGGGCTCAAGGTCAGGGCCGGGGCTTTCTGAGCCTCAAGGTGAAGGCCCAAAACTAAACAGAAAGACAACAGAGTCCAACCTGGGGGATTTTCCTATGGAAGTAAATGACCTCTGCTTGGATCGCAGCGTCAGGGATGCTAGCTAGCATGGGCCTTCCTGAGAGGCAGCCCCCTCCTCAGCGGAGGAGATAAAGGAGGGCCAGACCGCCTCTTGAGGGAGGAAGGAGAGTGAGGAGGTGAAGGGGGTGATGGAGGGGAGGCTGGGCAGTTTGCCCTCTGAGGACACAATGACACTGCTCAGTCAGAAAGAGGGGACCTATCCTAGCATCGTGTCCACCCTGAAACTTGGAAACTCCCTCTGTGTCTGCCTTTTCACTTGATCCCTTTCCCACTGGAAGAATCCTTGGGAGTCTGGGGGGTTTTGAGCTTGTCATGGACCACAGAGGCAGCTGAGGAACGTCCCCGTGGGACTAGGAAGGCAGGGAAGTGCCAAGAGCCACCGTGGACTCAGAAGCTCCCAGAGAGAGAGAAGGCGGCACCTCTAGGAAACCCCTGGAGCAACTGCAGCAGCCAGGAAGCCTTGGGAGACGGAGAACGGGCTCTGAGCAGAGCCTGAGGCCCAGGTGGACCACAGCCCTGTCAAGATAAAAACTCAAGCCTCTGTGTCTGGCAAATTCATCTAAAAATGCTGCAGTGAAAAAATAGAAGAGCCAGGTCTGCCTCCATTCACCCAAACCCAATTGTTAAAACCACCCCAATTTTCCCCCAAATGAAACCCTCTTTCTGACAGGATTGTGCACAGGATTCCTTTCCTTTCGGTTGTATTTCTCCCTCATATATTGACAGGAAATGAAACCAGCTTGCTTTCATTTACGCTTCCTCAACGATTTGAGTTCATGTAAAAACCAGCGAATATTCAAAAACCCGGTTCGAAAATGATTCTCGGTGCCACAACTGTTTCAGCAGGAAGGCTTCCCCTCAGAGTTCAACCGGGGACAGCAGCTCCCCCTCCACGCCTCCCTCAGCAGAGCCTGACCCTGCCACTGGCGCAGGGCCATTTACACCGTGGCTGAGGCTGCCTGGGCTGCAAGGAGGCCACCACCAAGCCTCGGCGGCCCCAGGCCAGAGACACCCAGGCAGGCCGCAGCTCCTTGGCTGGGAGGGGAGGCAAGATGGTGTGGGGGTCGAGGCTGGCTGAACTTGGGTTCCAGTCCCTGCTCCACCATTTACTAATGGGGGGGCTTGGGTATGTTACTCCACATCTCTGAGGCTTTTTCCACATCTTTGTAAATGTGAACAATGGTCCCTGCCAGCTTGGTTGGTGTGAGGCTGAATGAGAGAAACTGTATAACAGGTTAGCACAGCACCTAGTAGGTAGTTTGTGCTCAGTAACGGGGAGGGCTTCTTATCATCAGCAGCAGCAGCAGCAGCAGCATCACCATTGCGCTCTCTCTGTCCCATCTCCCCTGGCTTCACCAAGGGCTTGGGCTCCGAGCTTGAATCAGGTCGTGTCACTGGCAAATTATGGGTGAACCCCTGTACCCATGGGTGAGAGCCACTGGGAGGCAGGTGGCCCTTTGCTCCCTTGTCAGGGAGAACTCTGAGTCTGGACACCTGGGGCTGCCCTCTTTGCAGATGGGAAGACTGAGGCCCAAAGTGGGTGGGGCTGGCCCAAAGTCTCAGAGCAGTGGTGGTGCCAGGGCCCAAACAGGGCCCCCAA